TTTTGCTTGAAACCTGTGATCTTCTTCATCCCTGACCACACATCTCTGATATTGTTCCTTGTCAGTTTACTCTCCAGCTTCCTTCTATAAACCTCCTTGCTGTCTCTGATCTTGACTTTGAGCTGCTTCTGTATACTCCTCAATAACTCCCTGTCTCGATGCTAAAGGCTCTTTTTTTCTTGTTTAATACAAGTGATTACATTTTAAAGTCACCATGTGACCACATCTCTACCCTTGAGTCTGGTTGGGCTCAGCCTGAATGAATAACATTGATTTACTGTACCTTCCTGTGGGCCCACTAGCTGCAGGAGGGGACATACTGGTTGGTGCAAGAAATCATGGGCAGTAACCAAAGGTGGGAACCTTGGTGCTCTGACCTTGGGTCATGAAAGTTCTTGAGACCTGGAACATGATCTCTCTGGTGGGGAAAGAGCCTGAGCTGATGTGTGAGGTAGATTTAGTTGGGCTCACCTTGATGGACAGCGTGGCCTTCAGACCCAAACCCTTTGAGATGGGATGGACCTTTTTCTACTCTTGAGTTGTTCATGGTGAGAGGTGCTCAGCTGGTGTGGGCCTTGATCTTCAGCTCTCTCTGGAGCCAAGTGTGTAGTGGCTGGGATGAGGATCAGCAACTCAAAATCTGAGTCCATGGTCTAAAAAGAGTGGATTGCTCTCTCCAGGTTAGGAATGTGGAGTAGTTCAAGTATCTGGGGGGTTGAGAGAAATGAGAGAAAAATATTGCATGAGGTTAACGTGTCCATGTGTGTAATAAACAGTAGACACGTCCATGTGTGTAATAAACAGTAGACACGTCCATGTGTGTAATAAACAGTAGACACGTCCATGTGTGTAATAAAGAGTAGACATGTCCATGTGTGTAATAAACAGTAGACATGTCCATGTGTGTAATAAACAGTAGACATGTGTGTAATAAACAGACGTGTCCATGTGTGTAATAAACAGTAGACATGTCCATGTGTGCAATAAACAGTAGACATGTCCATGTGTGTAATAAACAGTAGACATGTGTGTAATAAGCAGACGTGTCCATGTGTGTAATAAACAGTAGACATGTCCATGTGTGTAATAAACAGTAGATGTGTGTATTAGTGTCTCCTGCCTCTTACACAGTGACAGCAGGAGAGACACCAGCTGCTCTGAGACAGAAATTAGAAACGTAAAGTAAATGGATTAAAAATTTCACATTATTAATATTTTGGCTCATAGCAAAAATTCTTTCCAGAAAATAGTTTTGTTTTGTTTTAATAAACAGAGTGTAGATGCATTTCATTAGAAGATGATTGCATTTTAATTTTCAAACAATCCTCATGTTGTCAGTAAAGCTATGATTCCTGCATGTTTCAACAGGCAAAAGTGGAAACTCTTTCTGTTCCCGTTTAAAACAATGTTTTCATTGACAATAAGAGAATTATCCTTCCAGACATGACTGCTGTGTTGAACGCCTTCGTTTAAGTGGTAAAAACTACATTTTCTCAGTTCCTGCTGACCTTCACGTGGTAAAAACTGAATGTTTAAGAAATTCAGTGGTTATTTCATCAACTGCTTGATTGATCAGCTGTTTGCCCTTGAAGTTAAGTTGTTGAGCCTCGTATAACAATGAACTGAGGAATAAATGGACACTGTTGCACACAGCTGCGAGGAAAAGAATCTGTCGATAAAATAAAACATGGTAGTAAAGTTTCCAAATCATTGTGATTAAGCATAAATTGTTTTTAAACTTTCCAAGTAAATGAAAAATGTAACCTTTTTTCTTGAAGACCCTGAACAATTGGGAGGAAATTGTCTGGGTACTGCCACACAGGGACTGTTTATGGGCCCATTCTGTTTACTCAGCCGTGTTATAAGAAGCCTTTTAGCAGAGATGGAAAAAGCAGGAAGGACCTCACTCAGACGGATCACAATGTTGACAACAAATCAGGTGTGAAGGTTTCCCTTGATGTCAATTTAATCTACACTTTTTATTGCTTATAGTGGTTGTTGGGTTTGCAGAACTCCAGCCTCTGCAAACTTCCTACAGTTCAGTTTTTTAATCACAGAGCAGACAGACTACAGCTAATGATCCGAACATTTGCTAGATGCAAACACAACTGTGAAACTGTCTTCAAGCAGTGATGTGTTTAAAACCTAACAATACTAAAAACGTGACTTAAATGAGTCTGAACTGTGGTAAAATCAAAAATAATGATGGATGTATGCATAAGTGTGAACAGAAGTGTCAGAACTGACCATTTGCAGACAAATCATCTAAAACAGATTAGTTAAAACCTGTTAAGCCCTAAGGGCTTTTAGAGGTAATTTCCTGAAAATACAAAGCAAAATAAATCAATAGCTCCACAGTTATAAGGTCAAAATGCTAACTCTTGGTACCTCTGTAAAAGTAAGATCTTAAAGATAATTTCTTAAGTGAAACCACTATTGTAGCTCTTACTGTGCCTGAGTTATTTGTGATTAAATAAAGAAAACTTGTAATTGTTTTTGCCTCGCCAAATTTTTTTTTAATCAACTGTGCAAAACACAATGAAAACTCTTGTGAAAACCCAGGAATGCTCTTAGATTTTATACATCTACAGCATGAGAGCAAAGTAGGACTGAATAAGTTGAAGTATATTCATTTCACAAAGGTTTTAGTGAGCAGTGTGCCAGGCCGAAATGGCATTTTGGCACAATTTAGCCAAATGTACCCAAAACTGTTCCAAATGGGTTTTTTACTTTATAAAAGAGAATCTGGTTTAATAGAAGTGTTGATTTCTATTGTAGGACTCATTCTGCACATGACATAACCTTTTTACATTTACATTTTTTAATAGAAGAAAAAGAAGGAGAAAGAAAAAAGTGAAATGTAATGAGAAAGAGTGAAAAAGAGATTAGAAGTTATGTAAAATATATGTTGAGAAAACACAAGACAGCACACCGGACTTCTTGGCTCCACACCTACGAAACTAAGATAGCAAAACCACAGCAACAAAAATGCATATCTATATAATTATAATGACTTTAGCCTTTCTGAAAACCATATCAATATACATATATAAATTTATACATATACACATAAACATACCCTTACCTACATATACAAACACGTTCATATATACATATAT